GAAGAGGAGGGGGATGGAGCTTGGGGAGCAAAGGGGGGCTGGAGCTTGGGGGGAAAAGAGGGTCTGGGGCAGAGGGGATCTAAGAGAAGGGGAGGGGGGGCTGAAGGCTTGGGGGGCAAAGAGGGTCTGGGGCCAGAGGGGATCTAAGGAGATCTGGAGGTAGAGGGTGTCAGAGAGGAGAAGGGTGTTGGGTTCTCCAAAAGCCCCTCAACCTGCTTCTGCAGAGCCCCGGGAGATTCATGTGGTCCATTGACGAGCTGGCCGTGATCGACCCAGTAGAGATCAACTCGGAGGACATCCACCGCCAGGCCTTCTACCTCAGCCAGAGCAGGTGGGGCAGGGCAGTGGGGTGGCTGCAGGTTTTGGAGGGGTTTCTCCCTGGTTGCCCCTCACTCACCCTTCCTTCCTTCCTTCCTTCCTCAGGATCGACAGTGAGGTTGAGGAGCAGAGGCAAAGGGCCATCGAAGAGGTAACAAACACCGTCATCCTTGGTTCAAGCCAGCTGGGGGAGAGGGATTGGGTTCCAGCCATTCAATGGGAAGCTTTCCTTGCCTGCTGTCACCTTCAAAGTTGCCTCCATCCCCTGATCAATGAGCGGACAGGAGGAGGGTGCTCAGGAAGCGAAAACCCTTTGCTTGGTGCCCAACGAGCTGCAGAGGAAGAGGCTTTGAATCCACTCATCGTTGGCTTTAGGCAGGAAAACATCTTGCTTTTCTCTTCTTAAAACTCTGCCAGCAAACTGATGGTCCCCTGCAAAGAACGTGCATGTCATTAATATGCATCCTGTCCTTTCTTCCTAGTTTTTCACCAAAAGCACCATTGTCCCATCGCCCTGGACCGATCCCATCGGAAAACAGGCCTCTCAGCTGAATTCAACCAGATGTAAGCAGCAGCTTCTTTTTTTTTGTAATAATAGTTTTATTGGTTTGTCGAAATCTATCTATATAAATAAAAATGTGAATGTTCGTTTGTTCAAAATCTTAAATCTCCGAAAGTTCTTCACCGATTGCTTTGAAATTTTGACACAACGTTGCATTCGAATACGCGCGTGTTTTTATATATCTACTATTATATAGATGTCACACCTGTGACAGGTAAAAACATGCTTTTTTTTTGAAAAACAGTGCTATCTGTTGGACGTAAAAGCAAACCAGACAATCTCTATATCTGCACAGACAATGGAACAACAAAAAATATTGTATACCCACAAGCATTGTGAAATTAAACATATTAGAAACGTGCGCTTTCTCTTTTCTTTCTTTTCCATTTAACCAGACTGAGCCACAGCAACGCGTGGCCGGGTACAGCTAGTATAAAATACAAAGAGAAATTCAAAATAGAAAACTAGAAGAAGGGAAGAGAAAAGAAAAAAGATAGCGTAAAGAGGGAAAAGAAAAAAGCACCAACTTTCGACTCTCTTTGGCACAGTAGAAGATAACATTACAATCGCAACTTTTTGCTTTTACGCAACAGTTTGCACAAACCATTTTTGTAAAAATGAATCTGTCTATATCTAATCCTGCTTCTGTTTTGAAATTGCTTCCAGATTTGGTGCTTGCGGTGAAAAAGGAAAATGAAAGCTTGATTTTGCTTTTGTTAATTACGTTTATTGTTATAATAGCAGCTTCTATTCTGGAGGCAAGGAGGGTTCATTTCAAGCCCTGTTGTTCAGGGTTGGGATGCAAATGGTAGAGATCAGAGGTCCCCAATCTTTTGGACACCAGGGACCAGTTCCGTGGAGAAAGGTTTTCTGTGGACCGCAGACTGCGTGGTTTTGTGTGCTGCCTGCATCCCACGGATGGGGCTTTGCTTGTTTGTGCAGGCCGGTTGCTGGCATGCCACGGACCAGAGGTTGGGGACCCCTGACCTAGATGGCTAGTTTCCAGGATCTCCAACAGGCAAGGCTTTGACAAGCCAGAAAGGAGACCGTTCTACATGCTTCTCAAGCCATCCTTGCTAAGCTAAAGAAAGAAAAAAAAACATTTTGCCTATTCTGCTAAGAAAAACAAAAGTCTAATGATTTTTTTTCTCTCGGATCGTAATATTACACAACACTAAGTAGGTGCTGCTGTTTGCTTAAATTGCAATAATTGGAATCACTTTATTTTGAGCTGTTGTTTGTGTCCTCGTGGAAGATTTTCCTCCGTGTTTAACGATCGACTGACTGATTCTTGTTTCTGTGAGCTGAACCGCTTGACCAAACCTGACTGCCAAAATGTGGAGAGAGGGAGCGTTTCCCATTGTCGCTAAGCATAGGCAATGCTTTTTATGCCTTCCTTGTTGCTATTTCAGCTGTTCACTAAGAACTCGATAAATTGCAGGTGTTGACCTCAACGATGCTTCGCCAGTCGGCCGAGAAACAGTCGCGCAGCCCGGGAAAAATAATGGTTTGTATGAGAAAGAGGGCAAACTCAGTATATGAAGGGATCTGGGTGGAGAGAAAGAGGGCACCTGTGTGAAAGAGAGAAAACACGCCTGTCAATAGGTTGATGCGTGTACAGATAGTCTCTGATTTATGACTGACCAATTAGTGACTGTTTGGAATTCCACAGACCTACTTGTAACCCAGATTTGAAGTTCAGATGGCTCCCCCTCTCCCCCCCCCCCCCCCCCCCCC